TATATATATATATATATATATCAAACATGGTGTAATCAACATTAACAATTCATTTTGCAAGTAGAAAATATCCAGTTTATATTTAAAAAAAAAATATATATATATATATATATATCAAACATGGTGTAATCAACATTAACAATTCATTTTGCAAGTAGAAAATATCCAGTTTATCTTTTAAAAAAAAAAAGATTTGTACCAAGCTATTTTTGAAAAATGCACAAATGGGGACTTCCAGAAATGCCTGTAACATAAATATAATCAGTCAATGAGCCCATCGACTAATCAATTAACAGACTTCACTAATCACCCAGCTCTAGTCAGTACAGAGTACAAATGGTATTACTCTTTTTTATTCCATGTCTTTCAACTTGTAAGTTCACTGTACATTGATGATTGCTCCACAGATAATGATGGGGTAAAGAAAATAAGAGATAAAAGATAAAGTTTTCAGAGGTGGTGCCAGCTTCTTCCTGGTGAGAGAGCAAGAGATGGGCTGGACAAAAAATTGAGGGGATGCATCTTTGTGGCAGAATTACCGTAGTATTTAGGGTGTGAGCCAGCTTTACATGAATCACTTCTCTTTTAGTGCAGGAGCTATATTTTGGGATAGCCTCAGCCCCAGCAATTCCCCATTCCCTACTGCTGCCCATGAAAGATGTACTAAAAAACACATTTGTTATTCAGTTCGTTATAAGAGTGAAATATGAAAACTGTAAGATATAAAGTCTTTTTATCTATATCATGAAAATAAACTTTCACTCGGCTTTGGAAATTCACAGACAAGTCTGTTGTAGAAATAATTTATTAAAATATCATATTTTTTATGTACAACAGTCTTGTACCATTTACTAAAAGCTTGCCAAATTTTGTGAAGATAAATTTAGTAATTTCAGAGTTATAGGTATCCATAGTTTTACAGTTAAACTGTTGTAGAAATAATTTATTAAAATATCATATTTTTTATGTACGCAGTCTTGTACTGTTTACTAAAAGCTTGCCAAATTTTGTGAAGATAAATTTAGTAATTTCAGATTTATAGTATCCATAGTTTTACAGTTAAACTGATCAACTTCATTCCTCTAGGATTTAAATATAATGTTATATTAAGTTCTTTCATACGAAATAGTGAGAATAACATTTTAAACATCTTACTAATGGTATTTAGTATTGATGTCATGCATATATATATATTCATTATAAATAAGTTTTTTTAACTTCAAATCTGGAGTTTCACCCTGAAATGTAGAATATTTGCATAACAACAGTAATCACAATCTAAAATAAAAGATCATAAACAAATTGGTGTTATTGCAACTGGTCTTTTTTTTTGCATGAAAAATAAATAGGAATAAAATTTTTTAGATATTATAAATAAAAGCTGGAAAGCCTGTGATTATATATTTTGGCCACCAGTCATGTAGTTAATAACTAAAGATTTTCAGGAGTCATTTTTAAGTCAAATTCCTTGAATTTTGTAAAACTTGTATCATGTCATGTAGCAAAATAAACTTATGTTATTAAGTTGATTATCTTTCTTAGGTGAATTGTAGATGTGATTTTTATGGATTGATAAACACTTTTTAAGATATTATATGCTTCATTATACAAGAAAGTTATTTTACTTGCATGGTTAACAGAAAGAATTAAGTCTATTTTGAAAAGTGTCATAAAAATGTTTGTGTTCTAACAGTTGGTGAAAACTTTTTAAATTACTAAAATTATTCTATTAAAATGTTGAAATATTATAAGTATACTGATAGCATAATTTTTTTTTTTTTTTGTGATGAGCCTTCATTAATATAGTGTATGCTGTAAATAGTGATGTTGATTGTTTTGAAGTTATTGTTCTAAAGAAAGTTTTAAGCAATGTGTTGACATTTTGATTAGTTTCATATGAACAACTCCTGCCTTCTTCCTTGTTTTGTGAACTCTGTGTGAAGCTGGAATGAAGAACTTAGCACACTTATTGAAGATGATGTAAATACCTGAATGTGTATTATGATTCAGCAGTAGTTTTCAAACGAGACCCAAACTTGAGGGCTTTCAAATAGTTCACTCTTCTTCTTCAGGAGAATAGTGGGTTATTTTTTAATGAGTGTAATGAAATATATAGGCATGGATGTCAAAATCACATAAATTGGATGTGTGTACAGTAAAGTGTGACAATAGTTATAAGAAATGTTAACCTTTTTTTTTTTCAGTAATAATATTTTAAATATTGATATTGCATATCAGATTTTTCATTTTTGTGTTTTACCTCTTCTTTTTTTTTTTTCTACTGTTGAACTTTTAACATTTTGCATTATTAGAACCAGTAATAGTAGCTTCATTGCTTAAAAAAATTAGGAACTGAATTATGTACAAAATATCTTTCTTTTTCAGCTCTTAAATAGTGAAGTGGAGAGTACTCGGAGTAATCGAAGATCTCAAGATATGTTAATTCAACAACTGCTCAAAGCAGAATCTCCAGAAAAAGTAAAACTACTATTATATGCATGTATATATATACATTGAATCACACATTCATTCCATGTCAAACATTATGTAATGTTTTTATTCTTTTACTGAGTACTTTTAAATATCACTAAGCGTGGTAGAGCTTAGTAGGTTGGGATGGGCCAGAAAAATAAATGGTTGAAGCATATTATGTATTGCTCATCATAGTCTCAAATCTCTCTCATAACAATCTAAGAGACTTTTATAAAGATCTAACCTAGGATTTTGAGGTTTTCAAAAGCAATTATTTCAATTTAGCCAAAACACACTGCTAAATTAGAGAATTGGCAAGTAGAGTAACAGCCAAATGTTCTACTGATTATTCTGATTCTGGCATCAGAAGGGCTAGCTCACCAATGCTTGAAATTGTTGTGAGGACTGACACACCACCAAAATGTTGCATATAAAATTGAGAAATGCAGAAGCAGTATAGTGTTTTACTAATTTCAACACATGATGTCCATCAAGACAACTCATCATGCTGTGCTAGAACTGCTGCCTTCATAGGGACTGCCATTCATTAATATTCATTGGAATTGTTTGAAAAAAAGGGAGAAACAAGTAATAAAAACATTTAAAAAAATAAGGATGCCAAAAAGTACAGAAACAAGGTAGGAGGAATACACAAAACCATGCAAGAATCCCTTTTACTACTTGTATATTTGAACATTTGTCCAGTTTGTTCATTTTTTTCTGACTTGAATGATTATAAATGTTTCCTATTTAAAATGAAACCATATGGAGTAATGCTTAAAATGTTGTAGCATGTGTTTATTTGTTTGTAAATAAGTAGAGCTGGGTATTCAGTGATATTTGCTAATCAATTAATTGACAGGCTCATTATTAATTGGTTACCACAGTGTTCCTTAAACCATAGTATGCAATAGTCATCATCAGAGGAAAGGAAAAAAAAAAGGTGCACGTACAAACTTCAAAAGTTTAAAGACATCTGTTAATTTAACCTTACCTACACGGGCCTACCGATGGTCACGGGTCAAAGGCCATGTCATCACACTTGTAGACTCACATTCAAACTTTTATTTAATGAATGTATGTCAATAAGTTTGGTATCAATTTGTGGATTATGATTCATATTTTGGTATTATACTTTAGTTAATTTCTTAATTTAAAAGTTAATGTTTTAAAAAACCAAATTAACGATCTTTGTGTGCCACGTGGTATGTTGAATGCAACATTGGTTCAGGATAGATATTTGTGATCTCCAAATATAAAGTCTGTGGTTTCTTATAAATTAGATACTCAAATTACCAATATTGACAAGCTAGGAACTAAGATGAACCTCCTATCTTTTTTTTTTGTTTGAGATATTGAATTAACCAAGGTGGCCCTGCCCACCTCTTCCATTTTTTTGAAAATACCTACTTACATACACGTACTTCACCCAGTGATGTGTATAACAAATCAGGAGCTCAGAATGTCCACTTGGTGGTTTTCTTTGAGAAGTATTTGCACAGGAAACTTTTTTTTTATGCTAGATTCCAAGCAGTAAGGTAAGACATTAGTGAGCTCGAAAATTCGTATATCTTTAGACCCAAATACTGTTTAGTTACTAAGCTTGATAAATTATAGTGGAATTCTGTTGTATTTATATATTAATTTATGATTTTTATTATTTCAAATTGCATATGTAAAACCTAAAAAAGCATTTGTTTTACATTCTCCATATCCAAAATTTGATAAGGCTTAGGAACTTATGCCAAGGAGCAAACAAGTACGAAGTTCGTAATTAGAAGAGATAATTGTTTTCTATACTTTTTTATTTACTGTTCTATAGTTTAAGAAAAATAACTGAAATTTAAGAACTCATTTGCAAGTAGTAATAATGTATATACACATAAAATGTAATATAACTGAAAAGTGACATCTTATGAAATACTGTTCCACTAGAACACAGCCAAGACAGGTCACTTTGTAAAGGCCAGTTTTATATTCTTGGTAACGTGAGTGCACGTACACCACATCATTGCAACATCTGTAATGTTAGTCAGATATTGCTGAAAGGTCTATAAAATAAAAATAATAAATATATATAGATGTATAATGTTATGAGATTTATGCTATTTAAAATAACATTTGTTTTTCATTTTATAATTTGTAGTCATGAAAAAAGCATAACTTAGATCTTATTCCATAATTTTTTATGGTGGTTAGGAGGTTGATCAAATCAACTAAACCTGTACAGAGATACAATAGTGAAAATAACAGAGAAAGTATAAAGTTTTTCTAAAAAATATGTTTGATAGATATCTGATGGTTATAAAGACTTTGTATGTGAAATATGAAAATTTTCTGATGCATAAAAGTATTTTAATCTTAAAATCAAAATTACTTTGCATGTTCAATAGTCAACATTTGAAAAGAAAATATTCATGGGAAAAACATCACTTTTTAATACTTAATAAAAATATTATTTTGCATATGAGAGCCTTGTAATGTTTATTGATAATCTGCAAAATTTTGTGAAGATATGCTTACTATATTAAAAGTTATAGCATGAAAATTATAACAAGCACTAAATGGTTACAAGGTCTGTTTCTGCACCTGACCGCATAGGGAAACAGTTAAAGAACCAAACATCAACAAACATAAAATCAAAGAAATTATCTTAATTGAACAACACAAACCTTCTTTTAAACCAGTACCCTAGAGTATCAAAATACCTTTATTAAGCTGTTTAGCAATCTCCAGTCATGTGACTTCCTTGTTTCAAACAGCATATATATTTATCTTTTGTCTCAGTAAACTACTGACTAACTGTGATGATGACTAACTCTTCTCTAAACATTGTACATTTTGTTACAATGGTACACAATGCTTATCATCGCGGAAAAGATAAAAAAGTGTATGTACAAGCTTCAACCTAACATCAACAGATATAAAATTAAAGAAGTTATCTTAATTAAATTCACAATCATTCCTCTAAACCATTACCTTGGAGTACCAAAATATCTTTATTAAGCTGTTAATCAATCTCCAGTTTTTTATACTGTATATTTATATGTCAATCCTGTGTTTTGGTCAACTTATTGTATCTGATGATGATGACAAAATGTTCTACACTTGTCACTATGTTAAACTTGTAATAAAGTATTCTTTGTTTTTATTGTTCATTGAAAATTCATTAGTACATTTATATATTTGTCATTTTTCATATGATTAAAAGGCTGGCATGACCGAGTGGTTAAAGAATACTGATTCACAATTATTTGTTTTGTTATTAGAATGCAGAATTCAGATCTGTCAATGTCTTTCACAATTTCTACTAAAACACAAATTTAGAAAATGAAGAGATGGGGTTTTACAAATGTAACACGTACACAACCTAGATATAGTAAATTTATAACTTATTTAACACTGTTGAATGAAGTGTCATGAATTATAAATTACAATCTAACACAGTGTAAAAAAAAAGATCTTACATTTTATTAAATATTTAAATACACAGTTACAAATTAGAAACAACACAATGTAAGAAAACAGTAACTTTACGTTATATCAAAAATAATAATATTTGTGCATATTTGGAAAGCTTTTTAAAATTGACTAAAAATCAAATTTAAGAATAGGGAAGTATGGATTACTTCACCATCTGTGTAGGGGATGGATTTACGTAGATAGTACTATGCATTGCATAGGGAAGGATGTTTGGGGAATGGATCTGTCATCTGTGAGAGCCCCATCTCAGACAGAAGTGTTTATGTGTTAAGGTTTTGTGTGTGAATTTCTTTCTTTATTTATTGACACTTAAAAGTACTGGTACCATCACCTTGTTGAGTTTTAATACTTGCCTCTGATACCCTGGTTTTGAAAGTGTTACTAGATGTGATGTCTATTATTAGATAAGTTGATTGGTTTTAATTGCTTTAGATACACAGTAGTGTCTTTACATTTTATAAACTTTGGACATTCAAATACAAAATAGCACAATCAAAAAATGTTTTTTATGCAAAGCACGAGTCTTCCCTCTAGTTTAACACTAAAGTAGCCCAAGAGTTTGTGGTGGATGCTGTCAACTTTTCCTGTAGTTAGCATTTCAAGGTTAGTGACAGTGGCAGATAGCCTTAGTGGCTTTTCCATAACAACAAAATAAATATAATATTCCTGTGGCTGAAAGGGGGAGCAACTTTAGTGGAAGTAAGAAATTGAACCATGGACCCTTGAATCATGAGGCACCCCCCACCTGAATCTGCAAAAAAACTGAACAGACTTAAAGGAAAAAAAGAATCAAAAAACTTATAACACTAAAGTCAGGTTTTGATTCCTACAGTGGGCAGAGCACAGGTAGATAATTATGTAATTTTATTTTTTCTTAACAGCAAAGAAACATAATAGCGATATCTTGATTGGTTGGAATACTCAAAAGTAGTACTAATCAGAAACTCTAACTTAGATTAGTTGATTATTTTCATGAGTTGTGACACTAATCAGTTAAGCTAAACAGACTAATTAATTGAAATTGATAACGAAAAATCATAATGTAATTATTTTGATTGCTTAATAGTTGAAATAATATAATAATCAGAACCACTGATTTTAGTTAATTGACTATTTTCATGAGTTGATTTAATAATAACTTCCATTAACCATTTTTTTGAATAATTGAAAATGGTAGTAGGCAGAAACGACTAATCTTGATTAGTTGATTACTTTGTAACATTAATTGACTTAGTTGTAACTCTGATTAGTCGATACTTTAAGTGACACCAGTCAATGTAATCGCTGCTGATTAGTAACTGATTATGTAGATTAATCAACTTAATCACCCAGCTCTATACGTAATTTATAATCAGATAGAGAAAATCTTTTGATGGAAATTTGTTATTTGTGATAAATTAAGTTACATTATGTACATGTACAAAATTAATCTATACATCAGTATTGAAAAAAAGTTCTGATTTGATATACAGTTAAAAGTAACATTTAGTATATCGTTAAATAAGTATCTGCTCTGAACTGAGAAAAGAAACTTTTTAAGGTATTGTTTAGTTAAAAGTTTTTTGTAATAATTTGTTAATACTTCTTTCTTAATTATGAATACACAATTTCCTTGTATCCCCAGGTTGAAAACTCCGTGTGCGGAGATACAAACTCTCAGTCCAGTTCTACAGACCAACTGTTGAAGGACTTGTGTATCAATTCCAATCAGTCATCTAACTCATCATCCCTTCCCACTTCACTTAATGAAGTCTTTAGCTCTCTTTCCAAAAGAAAATCTGATGATAACCCAGATTCTGGTTTTAACCCACCATCCAAACGACCAGCTGTTCAACATGTAAGTTAAGGCTTACTGTTAGAACTGGAAACTTATGCCATGTAATTGAAGCTTGTTTTTTTATATATCTTTTTACAAATTAAAAAAAACATCTTCAATGATTTTTATTAGTCTAAGAAATTAATTTTTTTAACTTAAACATGAAAATTCAGACCTGAGTGAATGTTTTTGAATAACTTAGAGATATTTAAAATACTTTGTTTTTCTGATTGTTTATTATTTTAATGATGGAATTGTTCATTAGGGATGATCTTGCCACTTTGCTAAAAAATATATTTGTGGACTGTATTTTGATATTATATTACTGTTGGTATCTGAAAGAGTCTTCTTTGTAAAGTAGTAAGTGAAAATTGAAAGACTGGCATCATTAATGCTGGATGTTAAGCTGATAATTTGAAATGGACATAGTGTAGGGAACAGAAACATTAGCTAGAAAATCAATGTTAATATACAAACTCTATTATCATGTCAGAAATGTCATTTCCTTTGTTTTTTGTAATCAAAATACCATAAAATTAAAATTTATATGCACTTTCATTCATTTTACTATATACTGACCTTTATGTAGAATAAAGAGTGTTGCATTATCAAAGAGATACTTAAGTTTTTGTTAAGATTTGCTATACAAGAATATAATGTTTATTAAATAAATAATAGAACCTAAAATTGAACTGTTGATAACATTTCTGGAATGTTACAATAAATACTTCAGAAACCATAGTTATAGGAGATTAGTATCAAACTGAAAACTCATAGTTGACAACATAGTATTAGTTTCATGTATCAGAAGCAGTATTATTTAGTGTCATATATATAGATTATTATAGTATTATTTACAGTTTCTTTATTTTTTCTCATAAACTATATGATTTTAAAAGATCATGCCCATTATAACTGTATTGCTGATTTTTACAGAACATTTTGTAATGAATTATTTGAAATTTGTCAGTATCATTATTATAACAACACTTGAAATAATTTCATTAGATGATTTAGCCCTCTTGCCCTGGCTATCCTTTGCTGCACATGTCACATTCAAAGTTTAGTTAAATTACTTTATGTTTATGTTATACCAATTAGTATAGCATAAAATTGTAGCTAATAATCCATATTGTAATAGTATATATATATGTTTTAAGTTCTTAATTTTATAAGGCAATATTTAAAAAGATCCTGAATTTCCCCTAGTGTGAGAAATGTGACATATTTTTTCTATGCAACACCTCTTCTCAATTTTATTCACCACCCCTCCATTGAGTACAAAATTTAATGTAAATTACTCACTATAAAATTGTCATTCTCAGACAAACCATAATTTTTATGGCCTTCAAACTTGTTTGCTTACTGAGCCATCAAATAGAAAATCAGACCCATCTTGCCACACCCACCTGTCATATTCTCTCTTTGAGGATTTGTTAATAGTTTTCTCTTACTTGTAATACTATATTATGTATAAACAATAGAAAGCCAAGGTTTTTCAGCTATAAAATGAAAGATAATGACTAGCTTGGATGAATTATTTGGTACATTACTACCATTAGTATATAAAAAAAAAGAAAGAAAGAAGAAAAAAAGTACGGTTAAGTGTCATCGACATTCAACAGCAAAAAAGAAGAGGTCCCAGGCAAGTAATTTATTTCATGTTTATACTTTATTTATTATTATAAAATAACTAAAATGTAAAAATAGGGATCTCTTTAGATTAGTTAAGGTTAGATTGGGTGAAATATATTTAATAATAATAATATAAACGTTTCACAAGGCATGCACGTAAGCAGCTCAGAGTATCTCATTGGTAATGTAATTCAATAGTGTAACATGAGCTTCACATTCCCCAAGTGATTTACAATTTATAATGGTGCACATAGTAGTTAGACTTGGCTCAAAGGGCAGTAAATCGATAAAATTCAAGTATATGTAGATGCATACTGTTACAAGTTTAAAGCTACTTAGGATAAATGAATGTAGTTTCATGTTACAATTTGAAATCATTCTAAAAAGAAAATAATGGTAATTCAGATTTATTTCGATATTTTGTTTTTTTGGTGGTTACAAGTTGTATAGAAAATAACTGTGTATGTGTGGGGTTTATTTTTAAGTTTTCTACAAATTGCAGTTGAAAAATATACTTTTCAAGAGCATGTTCATTTTGTAAGATATGGTTTGAAATAAAATATAGAAATACCATTTAAAGCTGTATTGTATTTTCTAGTTTTCTCTATAAGAGTTTATATTTTTATCTTGATCATTGAACCTAAGTTCATTATCATTAAGCTGGAGTTCAGCACTGGATCCTATGTATCATCTTGACATGGGGTGGGAGTGTTTTATGTTTAATTAAACAAATTTTAATATTCCACTTTATAAAGTACATGATTAAATAAATTCTTATGTTAAAAACAAAAGTGTCACATAAAGTTGGGATATATTTTATAGTTTATTTTTGTTAATTTTTTCTGTAATAGTGTGTGTGTGTGTGTATACACACACACATCATTAATGTTTTTCTATATTCAGTCATTCTATCCATATCTACTTAAAACTTATGCAACAAACTTTAAAATACTGGATTTGCATATGAATTTAGATCATTGCTACTACAGACCTGACCATCCTTTTTTAAAGGTGACAGGTACTGAAGGTACTTGTAGTTACATTTTATTAATGTTTACTGGTTTATTTCCATTCATGTTAAAATACAAAATAATTACAGTGTTGAAGTTACCATTTCAAATGAAAAGGTTTGTTAGTTAATTTGAATAAATAACTTCCATGTAAATGTTGTATGTTTGTTACAAGTTATTTGCTGCTATCTTTATAGCCACATCTGGCTGGACAGAACCCCATGTTAGCTTCTATGCTGGCCCAGACTCCCAAGACAGAACCATCTGTCCCCACCACCATTGCAAATTCAATCATGTCTCAGCTACCCCAAGACCGGCTGCCTAAAAACCTAGAGAAGAAACTTATTCAAACACCCTGTACAGTCATGACATCTGCTTCCTCCAATAGCTCAACACAACAAGGCACTGGCCACACCATCTCTACAAACCACTCCCTGCATCCCCAGGATGTGGTTGCTGTAGACCCTCAAGGACAGGTTGCTCCTAGTCACCATCCAGTTAACACCCTAAACCTTAACCAGAGACAGACTGCTCAGACTCAACCTCACCAACAACAACACCAGGGATTTCTTAGTCGCATACTGAACAGTTCTGATGGCTCTCAGTTGACAAGAGTGTTGGCAGCTGCCTCAGCAAGTGCTACAAGTTCAAATCAATCCATACAAAATACATATAGCCACTACCAGTTACCCAGTCAACTTGCCCAACAAACAACTAAGTCCATAACCCTTTCAGACTTGCTTGCAGATGTCAGTTCTTTTGATTCTGTGGTTGGATTAACAGCCCAGAGCCAGACTTCAGACCCAATGTTATCACAAATACTGGATGAGGTGTGTGTGTTTTGTAGGGTAATGTCTGTTACTGATTGTCCTAGTGTAACTATATTATATAAGTTGTATTTTTAGAAATTCTAATATAACTTTAAATAATATACTGTAGGTAACCTATTCATGCCATAGCCAAATCTAGTGCAACTTTTTCAGGCAATATATCTTTTTAATTATATTCAAGTTTACTTTGAATTCAAAGAATAAATGTTTGTGTGTTGCTGTAATTAGAACAGAGTTATTTCTCGTAAAATAGTTTTTCGTTTCACTTAATAGTATTAAAGTATGTTACATATTCAATCAAAGGAAAGCACTAGCCGTAATAGTTACTAATAAATCAACATTAAAAATCTCTTTCATGGAGTGATGTACAAAATTTTATATAATGATGTATTTTTAAAAGAAAAACAAAATTTATAACTGTATAACTTATCCATGATTACTGTTCCATTAATTTCTTTTAGTTTTTCCCATTCTAGTTCACTTTTGTATAAATTACATCTTTGGTGAGCCTTTGCTAATAAAATTTGAGTATTTATTTTAGTTGAAACACTAGTTTGTTATGATAAGTTGAAAAAAGGTTTTTATTTCAGATATGCTTTCATTTTATTTGAAAAATCTGTTGAAAGAATTAGCTTTATTTTATGATAGCATTATTCTAATACTTAGTATTTTAAAATAAATGTTACAAAACATCTCAGTTTATAAAAAGATATAACATTTTATTAAAGAGCAATAAACTAATTACTTTTGTGCAGTGAAAATTTAGCTTGTGAGTTTTAAAAGTTTGCGTGAAATGGTGTTTAGGTTTGGAGCATGCAACAAGAGATGGAGCCATCACCAATAGATGATAACATGATACGTAAGATACTGGATGAAGTATTTGAACAACCTTCAGGATCCTCCTCCTCAGGAAGCATGCCTTCCAACAATCAACCAGTTAAAACTGTACATGATGTTCATGAGAAACTTGCCATTAGTGCTATTCAGCAACAGTTGATGAGTTATGAGATCTCAACTAGCAGTACTACAACCACCTCCCATGTTGCTGCTCCTGTGCACACCCAAACTTCTGGTGAGGCTTTAGGAGTTCTTACTCCTTCAAACACAGTTGTCAGCTTTTCTTCCCCAAACTACCCATCTGCACCCTCTATGTCTACTTATACCAGTGGAGCTCAGAATGGACTTAGAGTACGGGGCCAAAATCCTGGAACTCCAATTAGTGTGCAGCAATGTGTTTCCCTGGGAAACTTCCAGCACCCTATTTCTGGAGGAGGATTTACTTCTAGCCTGTCACCTGAGGTATAACAAATGAAATGTTGCTTATGTTAATTACTTTAAAGCAGTTAGGAGAAAGTTCTCATACTGAGGTTAATTGGCTAATCTTGTTTTTGCCATTCTTCTTTGACAATTTCCATTTCTAGAAATATACCCATTATATTGTTTGGATTATGAATTATTAACTTCCCGTAATCTCATTTGTAGAAAAATGTTATATACATTATTTTCAGAAGGAATTTGAACAGTTTCTCTGAGATAAAAACACATTTCAAACATTTTGGAAATTGTGGTATATATATTTTTAGTTAGAAAGGAATGAAAGTATAGTTTTATTGCATAGAATAGTAGTAAAGGCTGAATTTAGTTTAATGTTTTGTTTTTTGTGTGCCCACCAGGTGTATCACAAACTTCTGGAACGCAGACAGAAGATGCTTCAGCACCAAAAACGCTTACGAGTACAACAACAACAAAAACAGATAGTTACAGAACCCCTGACATCAGCATCATCATCAGCATTAAGTGAAAACATGAATGACTTGTTGAACAACACTGTGGCACCCAATGTCACACTTCAGGTAATAGAAGCTATGTAACTGTTGTAGTAAAAGAAACTATTCATAGAAATGTGGTGTTTTAAGCTTTTTTTACAGTTAAGACTGAATATGATAATATTGGGAATATAAGATGTTATTAAGAAAGATTGCTAATTAACTTTTCCCATGTAATGTGTATAGATAATTCTTCCAGTACCAGGTTTATTTTTAGATGCATAATAAAAAATACAAACATGCATTTTAATATTTTGTTATATATCTCAAACTCTATACTGATATAACTAAGAATTTGAAGGGATATACTCTTCATTTGTGGTGACACAAAATTCCAATCTTATGTGGAAGTGCTTTAGAGGGACATAAATGTGAAAAGTGAAATAGTGTGTCTGATAGTTCATTAACAAACCTGTTACAGTGTATGCATACCAACTTCATTCATATGTTATGTTCATTTTTCATCTTGCAAATTACTTCATAACGTATGTCTCGATTCTTTAATGTCAGTTTTTGGGGGAGCAGGGGGGGATACTTTTGAGTAGGCCCAGCATGGCCAGGTGGTTAGGGTGTTCGACTCGCAATCTGCAGAACATGGGTTCAATTCCCCATCACACCAAACATGCTC